ATTCTTTGGGGGAAGCTGTACCCCACCTGTGTATTCTTTGGGGGAAGCTGTATCTCCGTTCTTGAAAAACTTGATAGTAGGGTAGCCACGGACGCCATACTGCTGGGCCAGATCAGACTCTTCGGTGGCGTCGACCTTTGCCAATCTGATTTCGGAGCCTTCTGCCTTCAGTTTTCCAGCTGCTTTGGCATATTCAGGGGCCAGCGCTTTGCAGTGACCACACCAGGGAGCATCTGAAAAAGAAAGTCAGATGCTAGGAAGCGGCACCAGGTCCAACACCATTACTTCCCTGTCTGGCTCCTGAGGTACTTCCTTCATAAAAAGCTTATCTAACGGCCGCAATAACCCCACTTAACACATCATGCTATGCCAACATTTTGGTGCTCTTGGGCAATAAGGGACAGAAGCCGGGGGGACAGATCAGCAGCAAATCCCCACTCTGCTTTGTGGGAGACTTTAACGGCCAATAATCTCAGGTTACCTACAGGCAATAAGAGCAAAAGCGTCCCTAGAACCTCTCCTAAGAATCCAAAAGAAACGAAAAGTTAGCGTAGCTGTCGTACACCTAGCAAGGAAAAGTCACGAGTGTGTGACACACGTGTGCGCTCATCGCCCTGGGAATCACGTCCCAGTGTCACAGATCTGGTTCTTCACAGCACAAGACAGAACTATCCATCAACAAAGACCAGCAGCTGTGTGGAGCTGGAGATTACCACCCAGGAGCAGTCAGTGCTTACACACTCACAGATGCAAACAAAGGCTGGGACGCCCCTCTGCAGCACTATTAGAGACACAGCTATCTCCACTTAAAGAGGCACAGGCAGAGCAGCAGGTGCTCTCTGGCTGAGTTCAGGTAAGAAATGCGGAGGCTAGCCAGCGGCTGGCTGTGTGCTGAGGCTCACACGGGTCGGTCCTGCTTTTCTTACACTTTTCTTACCAGGGTCCTGCCATGTGGCCCACCTGGCTGGCTACCAGTCAGGCAATCACCCTAAAGAACCCCAAGCACAGCTGCTTCCATTTTAGGCAGAAAAGACGCCCTATAAGCAACACGGTGAGGCTGTGAACGCTGACAGGGGCCGTCCGTGGGGTTAGCTTTAGCCCCGAGGATGAGCAGAACCTCAGAAGGTGCTGAAGTTCAACCCGACGGAGAAAGGCCTGCACTGACAACCCAGAGCCGCACAGAGACCCCAACGGCAGCTCAGAGCGCGGCTCAAGGGACCCAGGGCGCCCAGACACCTGAGGAGGAACAGCAAGGCTGGCCCGGCCCGTCCACCCCAGGGGACGGGGAGACCGTGCCCCCGTCCCCCACGGGGCTCCCCCACGCAGACCCTGCACCGGCCCCTCCCGGCAACCGAGCCCCCGACACACCTCCCAC